GTGGGACACTGCCCTGATACCTGGAACGTGGGAGTGGCGTGGGGCAAGGGGCGCACCTGGGAAGAGTTTTAAATGTTTAACCGTACAAGAGGAGAGCCTTGGGGGTGCCGTGGGTAAGCGCTCAGCTACCAACCCAAAGGTCAGCCGTTTGAAACCACCCGCCACTGTGTGGGAGAAAGGTGTGGCCGTCTGCTTCCTACCGAAGGACCGTCTCTGAAATGGCGACGGTTGGGATCCAGGGTAGCAGGTTGTGGCTCCACAGAGAGCTGCGAAGAGGCATAGGAGAATTCCAGGCTGCAGACAATACTGGGGAGGCCTCAAGAGAAAGTGTGGACAGCTAGGGAGAGGCCCTATCTCCTTAGAAAAGACAGACAGTGACAGTGGTAGAAATATGCTGGGGAGGCTTCACAGAGCACTCAGACCGATCGTGGTAACGATTGAACTTGATAGAACTGTATGATATGCGGATTATGGGCCAATAAGACTTAAAAAAAAATAGAATGAGCACGCGATTGGACAAAGAAGGAAGGGCAATGCTTTTTAGGCAGTGACAGAGCTTGTCTGAATTATGTTCTCAGCGTTTGGTGGAAGGTAGAATTTGTTAGCAATCAACGTGGGTCTCTAGCTGATGAGATGTCTACACAAGATTGTAAAGGGGCCTTGTGGGTTCTCTTTCCCCTTGGAAGTAAAGTTCGAGAGAAAAGAGATGGACTTATAAACTGAATGGCGAAGGAGGGGAAAGCGGAGTGGAGACCCAAAGCTCATCTGTAGACAATTGGACATCCCCTTACAGAAGGGTCACAGGAAAGAGACGAGCCAGTCAAGGGGCAGTATAGCACCGATGAAACAACTTTCCTCTGGTTCTTTAATGCTTCCCCACACCCCACTATCATGACCCCAGTTCTACCTTACAAATCCAGCTAGATCAGAGCATATACAGTGGTACAGATAAGAGCTGGAAAAACAGGGAATCCAGGACAGATAAACCCCTCAGGGCCGATAATGAGAATAGCAATACCAGGAGGGGAAGGGGAAGGAAGGGGGAACTGATCACAATGATCTCCATATAGCC